GAAAACTAAAGGCCTGCAATATCCAATAACACACCTTAGGGGCATGGCAATACCGAAAAGTTTGTTGTTGTTTAGTCGTTAAGTCGAGTCCGACTCTTCGTGACCCCAAGGATCAGAGCACGCCAGGCCCTCCTATCTTCCACTGCCTCCAAATTCCTGTTGATTGCTTCGATGACGCTGGCCAACCATCTCATCCTCTGTCATCCCCTTCTCCTCTTGCCTTCACTCTTTCCCAACATCAGGGTCTTTTCCAGGGAGTCTTCTCTTCTCAAGAGATGGCCAAAGTACTGGAGCCTCCGCTTCAGGATCTGTCCTTCCAGGGAGCACTCAGGGTTGATTTCCTTCAAAATGGATAGGTTTGTTCTCTTTGCAGTCCCGGGGACTCTCAAGAGCCTCCTCCAGCACCACAATTCAAAAGCATCAATTCTTTGGCGGTCAGCCTTCTTTATGGTCCAGCTCTCGCTTCCATACATCGCTACTGAAAAGTTTAGCTTTAGCTAATAAAAGGAATAAAAGGGAGGTGGTGGTGCTGTGGGCTAAACCGCAGAAGCCTGTGCTGCAGGGTCAGAAGACCAAGCAGTCGTAAGATCGAATCCACGCGACGGAGTGAGCGCCCGTCACTTGTCCCAGCTCCCGCCAACCTAGCAGTTCGAAAGCATGCAAATGCAAGTAGATCAATAGGGACCACCTCGGTGGGAAGGTAATAGCGTTCCGTGTCTAAGTCGCACTGGCCATGTGACCACGGAAGATTGTCTTCGGACAAACGCTGGCTCTATGGCTTGGAAACGGGGATGAGGACCGCCCCCTAGAGTCGAACACAACTGGACAAAAATTGTCAAGGGGAACCTTTACCTTTACCTTTAATAAAAGGAATACTGTCTGCACATTAGCAGAAAAGTTGTTCTCAACTGGAATTCACTTCACTCACCGTAGCCAAGGTTAGGTGCCACAGATGTTGCAGTCCAGAACTACAGAACTAAAAGTCCCTCAATTCCTGCCGTAGGAAATATCCAGAGAAGTGAATGGTTTCTCTCAGAAACTATGATGCTTAGAGCTATACATGGCTCTCCCTGTTTGCTTTAAAAGCCTTCCTGAGTTTTGGTTGCATCCCAATAATATCCACCTGTGGTCAACTTTGAGTCAATTTGTAATGTCCATGCTTTTTAGGCAGGAAAAACAAAACCCAAGATACTTTTTTGTTTATTTTTCAACTGGTGCACATAGAATTTCAAGAGAAACTGGAGAACAAAAGAGGCAAGTTAGTTGGCCAGATTTGAAATAGCTGGTTTTTAGACTGGGCCCATTTAGGTTTCATTTGGGGGGTGGGAGAAGAACCCCTAAACAAAGTAATAGGTTGAATGCACGCTCCGGATCGGTGTCCATTTATAATTCTGCTCGACCCTTGAAACGAATCTGGTCTTTCCGCTTCAAAAAAAAAGGAGCCTCGTACAAATCGGTCCACATCAGGCTGATTTGTTCGAACCCAGTGCTTTAGCTTTAAGGACACCCACTTAGGCAGCCAGAAAATGCAGCTCGTTTTTGGAGTCTCTCATTCATAAGACAGGAGTTGTGAGTTCTTTCGCCCTGCTCTCCAAATGAAGCCAACTTTCCAAGGAATGAAACCATTTCAGGTTTCTTGAGTGGTCGCCTCTAGGATGCCACGGGGGGGGGGGGGGGATTGGCGCCAACGTTCTAGGCTTCATCATCTCTCCATCTGTAAAGGAAAGGCCGCGTCCTCCCAGATGGGTCCATGGTTGGTTGTGAATTGATTTCACCGCTGGTTCGGGTGACCTTCGATTAAAGCCGTCACCACGCTCTGATGGAGGTGGGCGCCGTATTCACGAACAGCTGGCACATCTCAGCAAATGTTTACCTGGGGCATCATTTTTCCAAATGAAAAACAGCCAGTGTGCTTGCAATTCCTGTAAATAAAAACAGGAATAGCAAACGTTTTCCGTTCAGCTCAACGACGAACCACCTACTGCCTAGGGCAGTCATTCCCAATGTTGACTCGCCAGATGTTCTTGGACTACAACTCCCAGAAGCATTCACAGCTAGCTGTGGTGGCCAGGATGTCTGGGAGTTGTAGTCCAAGAACATCTGGGGACGCTAGGTTGGGAATCATTGTTCTCGAACAGTGGTTGTCAGCCTTATGTCCTCAGATGTTCTAGGACTACCAACTCCCAGAAGCCTTCACCGCTAGCTGTGCTGGCCAGGATTTCTGGGAGTTGTAGTCCAAGAATATCTGGGAACCGAAAGGTTGGGAACCATTGTTCTCGAACAGTGGTTGTCAGCCTTATGTACTCAGATGTTCTAGGACTACCAACTCCCAGAAGTCTTCACCGCTAGCTGTGCTGGCCAGGATTTCTGGGAGTTGTAGTCCAAGAACATCTGGGGACCCATAATTGGGAACCATTGTTCTCGAGCAGTGGTTGTCAGCCTTGGCTCCCCAGATGTTCTAGGACTACAACTCCCAGAAGCATTCACCACTAGCTGTGCTGGCCTGGATTTCTGGGAGTTGTAGTCCAAGAACATCTGGGGACCCAAGGTTGGAAACCACTGCCCTGGGGGAGAAGTTTTGGCCATTTTTTGTGGAGAGGTACATTTAAAGCTGGGTGACGTCACACACCCACTTTGCCAAGGTGAGCCCCAAAACATCGTGCAGAACTCCTGTCAAGGCCAACTCTTGACTTTGATGGCTGGGGACGGTGGGATCTGTAGTCACAGAACATCGGGAGTCTGGAAGGTTTGCAGATGGCTGGCACAGATGAATTCCAAGACAGTAGCTTAATCTATTAATTTACAAACTCCCGCTGTGGCTAGTCTCTCGCAAAACATTTCTTAAACGCGAGAGATGTTTATGCTACATTAAATCGATCTGCAGAGCCCAATCAACTATAAATCTTCAACGGTGCGTGGCAAGGTATTTCTTCAATTAGCCATAAAGTTAATTGATTAGTCTTCATGGGCATGGTGATGGGGGAAGAGAAAAGATAGACATGCAAACAAATTAAAGAAAAAGAACCGTGTACCTCTTTTAAGAGAAGAGGCCTTGCATTTTTAAAGAAGCACCAAATTAATCTTCGGAATTATCATCATTGCAGGCAGCTCCCCATTATTCTGCATTTTTTTTACCGCGTGAAATAAAATTTGAATAAAAAGAATGTGTCGCAGATTGCATTCGGTACGGTCTCCCTGGGACCGTTGAGCCTCGCTTGACCCGGCCGAAAAGCAAATGGAAGAGCGAAAACATCCACAGCATGGTGCGGGGTGCATTCATTAAAACCATGCCTCGAATCAAGAACTTTGTCAAGGTGTGAGGGACCACCCATGTGAAAAGAATCTGAAACAAAATGAACACGTAGAAAGAAGAAAAAAAACTGAGTTGTGTCAGTATGTTGCAGTTCAGCCGAAGTATGCAGAAAAACTGCTGAACGTAAAAGAATCTGAAACAAAATGAACACGTAGAAAGAAGAAAAAAACTGAGTTATGTCAGTATGTTGCAGTTCAGCCCAAGTATGCAGAAAAACGGCTGAACGTGATACAGTAAAAATGAACACGTAGAAAGAAGAAAAAAACTGAGTTATGTCAGTATGTTGCAGTTCAGCCCAAGTATGCAGAAAAACGGCTGAACGTGATACAGTAGTGCCTCGCTTCACGATTGCCCTGCATTACGACAAATCCGCTTAACGACGATCACAGAAAGATGGTCTAAATGGGGGAAATTCGCTTTGCGATGATCGGTTCCCTGCTTCGAGAACCGATTCTTCACAAAATGACGTTTTTCTAACAGCTGATCGGCAGTTTCAAAATGGCCACCGGGTAATTAAAATGGCTCCCTGCTGTGTTTAGGGATGGATTCCTCGCTGTACAGGCAGCGAAAATGCCCGCTGTATGGAGGATCTTCGCTGGACGGTGAGTTTTTACCCCATTGGAAGGCATTGAACGGGTTTCAATGAGTTTCAATGGGGTTTTTTATTTCGCTTTACAATGTTTTCGCTTAACGGTGATTTTCCTGGAATGGATTATCGTCGTTAAGCGGAGCACCACTGTAATGGGTAGAAAATGAAACTTATTCAGAATGGGCGTTTCTCTTAAAAGGTTCCTAGTCCTCATGAACTGGAAGGTGATGTTTGAAAGCTCAGAGATATAACAGGTCATGGTCTTTCTGGAGGGCCATTTCTCTTAAAAGGTTTCTAGTCCTTATGGACTGGAAGGCGATGTTTGAAAGCTCAGAGATATAACAGGTCATGGTCTTTCTGGAGGGGCATTTCTCTTAAAATGCTTATGGACTGGAAGGCAATGATTGAAAGCTCAGAAATCCAACAACGTGACTTCCGATCTTTCTGTGGCTAAATGAACCCTTCTCTTTCTAGTCCTTATGGACTGGAAGGCGATGATTGAAAGCTCAGAAATACAACAACTTGTGACTTCTGATCTTTCTGCGGCTAAATGAACACCTTCCTCCCCTTTTTCCTAGAGGTATTTTAAAGAACCCCCACCCGAACAGACAGTGTGCCTCTGTGCATTTGATCAGGGAAGAGTTAGACAAGGAGAAATCTATATATTTTTTCAAGCCCAGGATTTGAGCTTGAAAGCCAGGTGTGTAGTGCAATGGAGCAGCGCTGGGGAAAAGCCAGAATCAAGTTGCACCGAGTATAAGCATTACTACTGAATAAAGGTCAAAATCCAAATGAAGAAACTTCAGGGTGTATGGGCGATCTTGCAAAGAATACCCATAATTCCTGGGGTTCTGGTTGCACGCCTGGTCACACAAGCAGTTGTGTGACCAGTGGCACAAAAAAAAAGATGAAGAAGATCAAGCTCACGAAAGACAACTTGGTATCTTCTTGAGCACTGAAACCAATGGATCGAATTCTGGCCATAATCAAGAAATCTGTTTCAACAACATCGATTCTTCTGTATTCTTGGGCCACTGTAAGAATCCACCTCCAGATCCCAGCCGGTTTAAAAAATAAAAAATAAAACACCCAAGAGAATACATTGCAGCCTATTTTAATTTTTATTTTACCTCAGAACACAGGCTCACAGAGTTAAGGGTTTTGTAAACAGTTTTGTTTGACAGAAGGTATTTTACTGAAAAGTAAACCAAAGATCTTTTGCTTAAATACGCTTAAAAATACACCACCAAAGAAAACTTTAAAAAAATTTCACACTCTCACACACATTTGTTAGTAATGGAAATTAATTAATTATATCGATCTATCTCTCTCCTGCTTTCCGCCAGTGCGCTCCATGATTTCTATGCAAACGTCTGCTTTTACCATTTGCTCAGTCCTCGCGGTTGTGAACAGAGGAGACACGATTAAAAATTAAGCCCAGGGAGAAAGGAAAGAACGCCGTTCCCAGACCGTAGACGTTGCTGAAATATGTCATAATGGTTTTATGAAGCGGCCTGGGGATTCATAATCATTCATTTGTCATTGCACATTTTCATAACAATTAGGGGCATGGGGGAAGAATCTCGGGTCTAGAAGATGACTTCTTAACCCTGAACCATCTTAGAAGAGGGATAGGGAAGCTATAGCCCTCTAGATCCTGCTGAATGACAAAGCCCATCATCCCTTGCCATTTCTCTCTTGTCCATCCCAGTGGGTCAAACTCTTCATTTGCTCCCACTTACATCAACATTGCCATTGTTTGTGCCTTTATCCACCCATCCTTGTTTAAAATCAGACCTCTGTCCTTTATTCTGTTTTTTTTGCTATGCATTGGGTTGTTGTTTTTTACTAGAACAGGAAAGACGGACCACCCAGAAACAATAAACCTGCTTATTCATCATCTCACGTTTTCCAAACATTTGGAGATATCTGGTTTGTTCACCAGGCGTGAGGCAAAGGAAAGAGAAAACTCTCATCTTAGCTCAGTTTCGTAACCCAAAATTTAACAGATTTATTTAAAAAAAGGATCACCCTGTTGGACAGTAAGGCCTATTAATTAACCAAGATAATAGATAATATCCTGCTGGTGGTCCGATCTAAAGCAGATGCCAACAATTATGGACACCAACACTTATGTAAAACCCACGTTTCTTTTAGCTGTGTCCAGCGACATGATTTAGGTCTCTGAAATCTTTCGAACCTTTGTTTCTGAGAAACACACCAGTCCCAACGCAATCCCTTTTTGTCAAAACACAGGAAAAAAACCCCTTTTCCACAACTTATCACCGTATAACCGACAGAACCATAGGTTTAAGGGGATTTTTTAAAAAATCAGCTGTTTCACACTAAAAAAAAGAGGACCTCAATTGTGAGGAAAGTAAAAACCAAGCCATGTTCTTGTCCACTTTTTTTCCCCAAGCGTGCCCTTGAAGAGAGTTCAAATACTTCCAACATCGGTCGTCCGTTCTGATCTCCGTTTCCCGGAACTAACAAATGGCGGCCTTCGTCAACTGGAGAAAACAGCTTGGAATAAATGCGGCGCGGCGTGAATGCCAAAGGGGAGGGGGGAAGTTTTGTGCCGTATTGCCAGCACAGAACAAGACCAACAAAATCATCTCACTAAAATAAGGCACTTTAGTTCCTTCAACGGGGCAAGAGGGTTGGGAAAAAAAAACCCTCAAAGTGGTCTGGAGGAAGAACTCAATATTCACATGCATGTCGACAGAAAATGTTCAGCTACGGGAGCGTCGAAGACCTCTTGCGGAGCGTCAGTTCCATGGGCGATGCTTGGAAGCCGAGCAAATCAACTCGCTCTTCGGTTGCACCTCTCATCAGATCCGCCCGCTACCACCAACTCCATTAGTCCGGGCCCTTTGGCGGTCGTATTTAACGGACACAACGAGGAAGAGCAGAAGCGTCACCCCTTGGATGGCCGCCAGCAAGAAGAAGTAATAGTTCAAATGGCAGCCATTAATGTTACCTGGGAAGAATGAGAGAGAGAGAGAAATTAACTATCTGCCAGGAGGAAACACCAATGAACCGAATCAATTCATTTCCAGGAATTAACTATCTGCCAGGAGGAAACACCAACAAACCGAATCAATTCATTTCCAGAAGTCAGAATCCAACCGGTAGCCAGCTAGACCTTGCAAAAAGAGGAACGTAATAAGGCATACATAAGGCACCTCTTCACTGTAATGAAGAGATGATACTTGGTGTATCAAATGATCACTAGAGATCATTTGATACACCAAGGCCCATCATCCTCATGTTTTGTTTTAGCCACGTTGAAAGTGGATGATTTCATCCTGCTGCATCTGGCATGATCCACAAGTCATATAGGTTGGAAATATGGGTCGCTTCCCCTGGAATTTCCTGAAATTCAGAATTATTTGTGCTCCCTCAGTCAAAAAAAATGTCTCAACAGATTTCCTGTAGATCATCACTTAGTACTTTCCCCTCAAGCCAAGGTACTAGTACTGGGGTAAAGAAATGTCCCAAGCCATTTCACATACTGATTATCAAAAGGTTGGCCCAACTGGGAATAGATGCAAGACTTCTAAGTAGACTGCGTACCTTATATGTTAAATCAGATTGTACTAAGAGCCAAAGAGTTTTTTTCTTTGTCTGACATTTAAAAGACAACCTATTTCATCCAAAGAGCAGGCGTGTTTAAAATGTAGCCATTTTTCCCTTTAGGAATTGAGATGTGATCAAAATCTCCTTCCTATTTTGCTATGTTTTTTTTCCTCCACAGCAGGAATAATTTCATTGTCTTGCCAGCAGATCAATTAAGCAACTCAGGGAACAAAGAACTTCAACTAACACAGATATGTACTGTTTGGGTCGGATGGAGATGGGAAGGCCTGGGGGGGAAAACAGAAAAATTGGGGGGGGATTTTTTTTGTTCTTTTACAAGATGCTTCCCCCCCCCAAAATTTCCAGAAATTCTGGAAAAACCTGGGGAAAAAACAGGGGAGGGGAGAGGTGGGACTGAAGAAGTCTGTGGGCCAGTTGGAGAACGTCTATGGGCCTCAGCTTACCCAAAGCCAAGATTTTCCCATTCCTCCAACAGGGAGAAGATCTGTTTCTGATGTCTTCAAGCAATGAAGCCAAGATACAAACATAACCTCAACAAGTTTGGCCAGTAACTTCCTTCTTCAAATAATTCTATTTCTTTATTTATATTTGACTTCTTGATGGGCAACTGACCAACCAGGAAAGGTGCAAAGGCTTGCATTTATCCTGAAGTAAAATGCATGTCTTTCCAATGCTTTCTGCCCCAGTTTATCAACCCAGTTCCACTTGGTTTTTTTAAATATACCGTATTTTTCGCTCCATAAGATGCACCTTTCCATAAGACGCACCAATTTTTTAGGAGAAGAAAACAGGAAAATATAATCTGTTTTCTTTGCTCCATAAGACGCACAGACTTTCCACCTCCCTGTTTTGTGGGGGAAAAGTGCGTCTTATGGTGCGAAAAATACAGTAGTTTTCTGGAGCTCTCGAAACAATTTCCCCAAAGATCAAGAACTCTGGAAAGGAAGAGGAATTATTAAACGGCGGAACTACTAAAGCTGCAGGATTCCTCTGGAGCCCTAGCGCAACATTTAAAGGGTCATCAAGGGAACATTGCTGCTGAAAGCTGCATTAGTTTTAAAAAAGCAGCCGAAGGTAGAAAAGACAAGTTACGAATTACAACATACAGAGATTCTGTTCCATTCCATGCTTATGTCCAACGTGCTAGGGTTGAAGAATAAAAAATTAAAAAAAGAAGAACCTTACCTAAATCTGAATGATTACTCATCCACCCAATGGATTTAATAGACACCAACGCCAGCAGGCCTGAGCCGACAAAAGATCCGATTCCGGAAAAAAAGAAAAACAGGCCCATAATGGCACTTTGCATAGATTTCGGAGCCGCGGAATAAGCAAATTCGAGACCTGAAATGAAAAGAGTCAGAAAGAAGATCTCAAGATAGGAAATATCCATTCTAATTTGCCGTGTGTAGACAGCCAAGGAGATCTGAGTTCAAAAGAGTCTAGATGGACCTTTTCAGCCAACTCATCACTATAACGGGGATATTAATGGCCCTTCTCAACAGGGCTGGTGTGCAGAAGAATGAGATATCTATGGTGAAGTGTTCTAAATCCCATGACAGATTCCAAAGCATAAAAGCAACACTGCGGTTTGAGCAAAGGCTGTTAGAACTGCACCCGTTTCTCACAAACTAGGGGTATTTTAAAAGCAAGTGTCTGGTTTTACGTTCTACATCATTAAGAAAGCTCAGATTTTTAAAAAATTACAACTTTTGAGGAACCACACATCCGGTGACCGTAGCTTATAAGAAGTTAATTACGAATATGGTTGAAAGTAACCAGTCAACAGTAACAGTTACTTCTAGCTACCTAGTTATAACTGTTACTTGTAACTAGAAGTAACAAAGTTACTTTTAACGAGGCAGTTTTAAGACAAGAGTGGACCGGACTGCCATTTCAAATGTACCATTGAGATTAATAAACCTAAAAAAAGCCACCCCGGACCGTCCACTCTCTCAAAATCTTTGCCTCCATCTCGAGGTGGCAGAACTTCTTGTAATTTGGCTGTTTAGCTCGGATAACGATCAGAGAGCTGAAACAAAAGCTTTGCGGAAAATATTGAATGAGAAGTGATGCTTGAAGTGTAATTAAGATGGGCCAAGAATCTCCACTTCAAACAGGAATATTGTCATTCTTTTTCAACACCTCAGGCTGTGCTCCTTCTTCTCGAAAGTTAAATGAACCAATTTTCCATGGTGTTGGAAATCCTTTATATGCAGGCTGGTTTCCAAGCATAAGAGAAAACAGGCAGAGGAACCTTAAGCATGCTTTAGGTTTGCTAGACTTATGATCTTGAGTACAGATGTGGCTATACAGTTCCTTTCTTCCCACCACTTCTGGAAGGGAAAATTCAGTAACCCAGTGCAAGTGGAAACGACAAGCTGGAAATCACATATAGCGCTGTAGCGCAAAAGCGCTAAACGATGTTGTGACTGACAGCATTCCGCTCCACACTTTTAGATAAGTTTAGAAGGTGCTGGCTGCTGGCTAGAGAGCTCAGGATGTTGGGCACCTGGCAGCAAAGGCAGAAATTGGAAGTTCAATTCCCCACTGAGTCTTCTGGGGAGAAGAGCCAGCCTGTGTGGCCTTGGGCAAGCTGCAGAGTCCCAGGGCTCCCCCTAGAGGAAGGGAATGGGAAACCACTTCCAAGGAGACCCTGAAGAGGGTCACCATAAGTCAGAATTGACTTGAAAGCATGTAATTATTATTTTAGACTGATGATACTACAATTGGGTTGTGGAATAAAAGGGAATTATAGGCTGTTGCTCACTATAGCATTCAGGATAATATGCATTTCGGGTGTGGAGAGAGAAGGAATGCAACCTTCAAGTTTCCTGAAACAATTGCAGATGTTCCCAAAGTGTAGAAAAAGATCTCAAATCCTGCCATCTAGTGGTTTTCCACTCGATCAACAGCGAAAAGGAACAAGGTAAAAACTCTCTACCAATTTTCTTGAAACGAACCCAACCTACAGGACCAGCTCTTTGAATGAAGTGCTTTCCCTTACGACAAAATGTTTTCAGAACGGAAGAGAGTCAACCGTCTCATCTAAAGCCATGATCATTGGGAAAGTGTGGGACAGAGAGTAGACCTATTTGTGGCCTTCTAAAGAAATATTAAACTATAATGATGATATGTTACTCTTGCATCAAGTGGCTTCTGACTTAAGGTGACCCAAAGAGATTTTTGAAGGTATTTAAGATGTTCAAGGAGCAGCTTACCACTGCTACCACTTCCAGTGATTTCTGCGACGGAGTCAGGATTTGAAGCCAGATCTCCTGGCCACTCAATAAATACTGGCTCCCATAATGCTGATTCTGACAATAATTTCAGCAAAAATTTATTTTCTTCTGAGCAGAAATCCCTGAAACCCTAGGAATGCAGGATCTCACCCCTTCAGAAAGTGCTCTTGTTCTGCAAGGGCTGGACCTCACTCTCCACATAGACAGTGCTTGGGCAGGATCCTGCATCAGTATCTCAGTAGGACTTTTGCTCCATGGAAGCGGACGAGGGTGAATGAAAGGTGCGTCCGTCGGGTCTACTTGTAAACCATTGTTTTCAAAAGACCAATTTGGCACCAACAAGCTACGTAATGGCCTTAAAAAAATAATAAGGGGAAACAAAAGTATTTTGTGTGTTTTTTTTTAAAAAAATCCCATTTCTTGCAGATTCTACTCAAATATTAAGAATAAACTCCTTGGCAGGGGAAAGCCATTCAGCAGTGGAACAGAATGCCTCATGAGATGAGGTATCCTCCTATTTCAGTACCATCATATGTCTGAGACACAGGAGCAGCAATCTGCATCTGGGTGGTGCATCTGGCCCAAGGACCGTAGGTTTGCAATCCCTGAATCAAAAAGGAACGAAGGAACAGGGCTGTGGAAGACCTACTTCAACCCCTCCAGAGAACTGCCCTAAGCTAGAGGAAACAACAGCCGACGAGGTACGAAACAGATTTAATTTGCAGAACAACAGCCGCAGGTGGAGATGGGTTTTCTGGATTTTTTGGACTATAAATCCCATCTTTTTCCATTCTGGGTGTTCTACCTTCCTTACAGACCCTTTACCCTCCTCTCTATGTGGCTCGCCTGGGAGAAAGGCCTCAATGGGAAGGCTCTGAGGCCTAGCTAGGCCTAGTCCAACTTCCCCTTCCTGCCCCAGTGGTAACTGGGAGTTAAGCGGCGCTAGGCCTAGCTAAGCCTCAAAGGCAGATGAGCAACAGTGAAGTGGTTCGGAAGATGCCCGCAAAGTAAGCACCAGAATGCAGAATGTTGGGATTTGTAGTCCAGAAAAACTGAACATCGGATTCCCATTGCTTTTCGGCCTCCCTCACTCCTCTTTCTCTCAAATGATTTGCAGAATTACTAATACTTTGCTAGCCGGTTTAAACCCTGGATTTAAACCAGGGTCAAACTCAACGAAAATGTTTATAGAGAGCCAAAGAAAGAGCCGCATCGTCATTTAATTAGACAGCAACACAGCAAAACCAACCACGTGGTGAAAGAGCAGCAAGGTGCCGCGGCTATTTTTTTTCCTAATGAACCCTGAATGTGGGGGAAACAGACCAGAAAATGAGATTTTATGGCAACGTGCAGTCCTCTCATTTGGAACTTTCGACAAGACGAGAAGGAGGGGAGGAGTGTGAAAAGGTGGAATGAGAATCAATAAGACACCCATGTTGTCAGACACGGCACCAAACAAGTGCAAAGATGCTCAGGATCATTTGCTATTTCGTTAGGACTGTGATTTTCAGCGGGCGTCCTAGAAACCGATTTAGTAGATGGCAGGTCACACCATCAAGTGGCCGCTCCGGCTTTTAGTTGGAACTTTAAAGCCGCTCTCCAAGGTCCTAGACCTATTTTCAGCATCTTGGGGAGGACTTTTCTAAAGTTCCAACTAAAACCCAGGTCAGTTTCACCCCCTCCACGGCCCATCCAGCAACTGGGCCTAACCCTATATCATCTGCTCTGGCAGGCAGCTACTGCTCAAAGACCTTCCGATCCTCAGGTCTGCTATCCGGGAGTTTTTCGGCTGGAGTCGCAGGGAGCTGAATGCAAGGTCTTCCTCCTTGCTAACTTCCGTTGCAACCGCCCTTTCCGTTAAGAGGCTATCCTCTGTCCAGTTCATATCTTGGGCATTCTTTTAATGCGCCCTTCCCCAAATCATGCTATGTTTAACTCAAAGTCCCATCATCCAGTGCAACTGTGATGAAATGGAAAAGTTTCAGAGTGGAAACAGACCCCAGCAAAAGAGTTCCAACCACGTCTCCATAGATCATAGCCCCTTTATCCATCCTCTGCTCTTTTGTTGAGAGCGAGCAAGAGAGAGACAGAGATGGAAACTTGTAATAACACGTTACAAATAATAACGTTACCAGTAACATATTACTTCTTTAAGCTCATTATTAATTGCAATTATAATGTTACCAGTAACATATTACTTTTTTTGAGTAAGATGAGCAGAACATCCTTTTAGAGAAATAAATTAACTAGTAATCTTGTGATTCTTAGAAAGTGTGCGGCTTTGGGTTAATCTTCTAGTTTTAAAAACAGATTTTTCCTAAACAAACATCACAGTAAAAAGCAATTCCTAGCGAGTTATTTGGTTAACAAGTTTCCAAGCTGGGCTGATCAATCCAAATATCTTCATTTAGGATGCAATTTAGAGTTCAGTGAGTTCTGAGACAGAATCTAAGGAGGACTTTTTTTACTAAGTAGATCAGAAGCCAGACAAACTAAACGGCTAGAAGTGGAAAGCAAAGCAACCCGTACGCGGTGCTTTTCTCAAATCTGAAAACTCACCTGCGATGCTGGCAAAAATTTCACTGAAACCAATCAGAATGTACTGAGGGACCTGCCACCAGACGGACATATCGGCTGCGTGATACACCGTGATCCCAATTGTCTGATTGATCATATTTTTTTTCACCACCTTCAGACGATTGCTTTCCAAAATCCCTGGAAGACAAAAAAAAGAGAAAAGAAATGCACTGTTTTTCACAGCACCCTTCATACTTATTTATTGAGTGGCTCCTTATAAAGAATTCAACCCATCCTCCATGCCTCTCTGGTGGGATCTTTCCTAGCGCTTCTTCTTGACAACCTTGAACTCAAGAACAGAACACCTTTGGCTAAAAGGCTCGATGTAGCCCAGAGAGGATTAATTTTGGGTGAACAACTTCTCCACCACTGGTTCTGTCCCCTGAGTCACAATTATTTTTCTTCTGCCACATGTCAGGATCGTGACACTTCTTTTTATTGTCGTTGTTTTAGATTTCGGATCCAAGAATTCTCCAAGAACTCCCTAGCAAGAATTCTGGGAAATCCAGACCGCCGACACATACCTCCAGACGCCGACCTTTCGCTCGCCTGGATAAGGCCCAGCGTCTAGCCCTTCATTTCCTGCTCCAATACTTCCTAAGACGGATGGTTCTTCAGGATGTGCCCTCTACAGCAGTGGTCCCCAACCTTGGGCCTCCAGATGTTCTTGGACTTCAACTCCCAGAAATCCTGGCCAACAGAGGTGGTGGTGAAGGCTTCTGGGAGTTGTAGTCCAAGAACATCTGGAGGCCCAAGGTTGGGGACCATTGCTCTACAGAATCCGCAGAGCAGCAAAATTGCAATCCCCCAAGAAGCAGCTTTCTCCCAGGAAGCACTGCAGCAAAAGACAAGGTCCCTGAAGAAGGCCTAGATGGAGGCCTTATCCAGGCGAGCAAAAGGGTGTCTGCAGGTATGGGTTTGCGAACTAGAACTCTTAAAATTCCGCCTGGAGAATTCTTGGCTTTGGCATCGAACCCCCCCAAAAGGCATCCTTCTAGCACTTACATATTTATCACACCGACTTCATACGGAGGCATCATCAGCTCCACCTCCATTAGCTTTGAAACGTCACCACAGTGATTAAGGTTGTGGCAGAGGTTGTCAAGGGACGTGGTGGCGCTGTGGGCTAAACCGCAGAAGCCTGTGCTGCAAGGTCAGAAGACCAAGCAGTCGTAAGATCGAATCCACGCAACGGAGTGAGCGCCCGTCGCTTGTCCCAGCTCCCGCCAACCTAGCGGTTCGAAAGCATGCAAATGTGAGTAGATAAATAGGGACCACCTCGGTGGGAAGGTAAACAGCGTTCCGTGTCTAAGTCGCACTGGCCATGTGACCACGGAAGATTGTCTTCGGACAAAACGCTGGCTCTATGGCTTGGAAACGGGGGTGAGCACTGCCCCCTAGAGTCGCAAACGACTGAACAAAATTTGTCAAGGGGAACCTTTACCTTTACCTTTAGGGGTTGTCAAGCATCTGGGAAGGTTTGGTCTCCAGCCCTGGAATCTTTGGTGAGCAGGACCTGTACTGGCCCCTCAAAAGGGGAGATGGGAGAGTTTCCGGTCACCACCCCCCCCACCTTGAGGGAGGGGAGACAAATGATATTTTGGGAAGGGTAGGGTTCCCCCCCATCTGGATGCTTCATTGCAGAGGTGGTTCACTATGTAGCAGGCAAGCGGAACAAATCCCTTCCCTAATAGGAAAAAAAGCATCTGGAGATGACACCCCCGGACAAGGGTCTGGCAACTCAAGGCAGTCATGCGCCCCCCCCGTCACTTCTGCGCATTTGAAAGAGATGAATGAAGACCTGCCTGCTTCCCCGGAGGATTACCTGACCTAAACAAGCACAGCATTGGCTGAATCCCATTCACATGCAAAACCCAGAAGCGTATATACACTCGTTTTGAGAAGCCCACATCCGCACGCTATTGGATTTGGGAGTTCCTGTATTCTGTTTTAATCATGAGCATTAAGCAAATCTGTCGTTCGGGGCGGATTAGCCGGGCGCTGCAAACAGGCACGATTTTGTGTAAAGCCAATCTCATTACCACCCACATGTAACTCGCCGCCTGCTTTGGTGACACCAGGTGAAAAAAAAATCCCACCGTCACCGGCTTTAGGTCAACGCCGCGCGGCTGTTATCTGCCACGAGCAGGACCTCAATCCCCGTTTGATGCCTGCAGCTCCTAAAACTTGTACAAAACAAGTCTTGCGAGTGAGGCTTGGTGGTTCTGAAGTATTTCGATACGGTGCTAAATTGTGTGTGTGTGTGTTTGTGCGGTGGGGTGCTTTTGTTATTATTTTTTTTGCTTTGTTCTAGCAAGATAAGGGGTTGCCTTATAAGAAGCCCAATCCGTAGCCTGTGCGGAGTTCACCAGCTACACCATCTACTGTGCTGGTCAATATGTGTTTTATCTTGACGATGGCCAACCCTTCCATTGGGTAGAGTGACCCAAGGGTCCCAGGCTGGCAAGTTGGCTGGGGAGGTCAATTTCAGCTTTCTCTCTTACTTGTGAATCTATTAGCCTGCTCAACTTTCCAAGAAAGCAGCTTTTCCCCCAAAAAATCTCAGAGCCAGACGTCCCACGTAGGGTGATGTGGAAACAGGGAACTTTTCCATGCCACAGAACGGCTGACCTCTGTTCTTAACTGCCTACACCCCCCCACCAAAAAAATAAGGGGTGGAAAATGGAGTGCAGCGTAGAGGTCACTGCTGGGGCCTAGGAGATCTACTCAAGAAACTCACTGGGAGACCTCAGGCCAGATGCCACTTCTTCTCTTGGCTTACATTGCAGGGCTGTGAGGACAAGGCAGGGAGGAAGAGAACCACATACGTGTCAAGTGGTCTGGAAGACAGAACCAGGAGCCCTTCTGCTATGGAGGACAGGAAGCAACGCATGCCTGTATACCCACCCACGTGGACGCTCGAACACGGAGAGATTCATGGGAAGCTGCATTTTTAATGCACAACCCTTTGCCTTCTCCATCACAATGGTGTGTATCCTAACTGGCAATAAATAATGAGTGCTTTATGTCGGATCCTTTCCTAGCCCGAACTGGAGATCTCTGCTATGGTAGCCTCTCAAGCAAGATCCTTCCCTGGCCCTAACTGGAAATGTCCAGCATTCCCTCTTGGTCTCCCATTCAAGACCCAACCCTGCAGAGCTTCCCAAATGGGGCCGAACCTGCCTACTGGGTGATAGAGTGAAACATAGGGTTCCTCTAAAGGAGAAAGGCAGGATAAAAATCTTTTAAATAAACACAGAGCTACTGCAGTGTGAGAATCCCCCAAAAATCTGCCTTCCGTCTTGATCCTCACCTACTAGAGGGCCTGAACCAGCTAAAGAACAGCCATCGGTCTAAGGGTCCCCAACCTTCGGCCTCCAGATGTTCTTGGACTGCAACTCCCAGAAGCCTTCACCACTACCTCTGCTGGCCAGGATTTCTGGGAGTTGAAGTCCAAGAACATCTGGAGGCCCAAGGTTGGGGAACCACTGGCCTAGGAGCCATGCTTGCAATCCACCTGCTTCCCTGGTTAAACCTGGTTAACCAGGTTCTGCTTTCTACATAAGCAGGTGTATCCTCTTGAAATGGCATTTTCCTCTCCAAACCGGATGCCAGCTGTGAGCGATGGGAAGTGATAACAAGCCCGTTTTCCGTTCCTCCCGAAAGCAGGTAGTTCGTACCAGCGGCCGTTCCACCAACCGGCTGTCCGGAGACCGGGCGTGGGGAGCAAAACTCAGCTCTGTCCATCAGCCTGCTTCCACTGTTTCCCATCCTTTCCAAAGCAAGCCACAGCTTGAGTTACTTTAGATTTTTTTTAAAGTTTGTTGCTTTTAGCAATCTCATAAAAATGCAACCCACCCTTGCCTTCAGATAATAAGGATTACACAGCTTCCCCACCCCCTTTTTTTTATACTAATCTATGTATAATATTGCTGATCATTTCACAGGGTACAAAATTTCTTCTCCTCCCTTGGTGGCTTGGAGTTTAAAGCGGACGCCTGGTTTACAGCTGCTCCATGCCACTTCGAGTCGGGGGGGGGCTTTATTTAATTTTCTTTCCTTTTGCTGTAATTGTTTTTTAAAAGTTCTACAAATGAAGTTGATTTTCCGGCTGAGCACCCTTAAATACTGCTGGCAAGAATTTACGGCCATCAGCCGCGAACGGGAGCCGCAGCTGACGTTCCTCAGATCTAATCAGTCATACTCCCATGCAATTTGGGAGATATTTAAATAATAATCGAAGCTCTTTAATAATAAGAATCTCCGGATGGGCGAAGCAGTGCTCGCCGCTCAACCAGCAGACAGGCGGAAAAACGCAACACCCAAACAAGTCGCAAGGCTGCTTCTGGGTTCATGTGGACTTGGCACTAAGTTAACACTGTTAACTAGCCCAACTGGTGAATTTGTACGTTCTTCCATGAAACAAAGGTTGGGTTTCTCCAGGGATGGGGACTTGACTTGTTTTCAAGTCGGACTTAAGTCACACCGGTGACTTGACTCAAACTTGATACGGGCTGTTTTTCTTCAAAGATTTGGACTCAACTCATGACTTGGAACCACCAACCACCCTCCCTTTTTTCTGGGGGAAAAAGCTTGCTTTTTAATAGGGACTTGGATGTGGGACTTGGTCTCAAAGACTCAGACTTGGGACTTGATACCAAAAACTCGGGACTTGGTACCAAAGAGTCAGACTTGGGACTTGGTCTCAAAGACTCAGACTTGAGGACTTGGTCTCAAAGACTCAGACTTGGGACCTGGTCTCAAAGACTCGGGACTTGATACCAAAGAGTCAGACTTGGGACTTGGCACCAAAGACTCAGACTTGGGACCTGGTCTCAAAGACTCAGACTTGAGGACTTGGTCTCAAAGACTCAGACTTGGGACTTGATAACAAAGACTCGGGACTTGATACCAAAGAGTCAGACTTGGGACTTGGCACCAAAGACTCAGACTTGGGACTTGGTCTCAAAGACTCAGACTTGGGACTTGATAACAAAGACTCGGGACTTGGTACCAAAGAGTCAGACTTGGGACTTGGCACCAAAGACTCAGACTTGGGACTTGGTCTCAAAGACTCAGACTTGGGACTTGATAACAAAGACTCGGGACTTGGTACCAAAGAGTCAGACTTGGGACTTGGTACCAAAGACTCAGACCCAAAGAATTCACAACATCCCCGGATTTCTCCAAGATGCTCAACATAGGGCTGTCTCTAAAAAATCACATGAACAATCTAAGTGGTTTGGAATATAATAATCAGAGCATTCGCTGTGCTTTACACGATGAATCTATCCTCCTCTGCATTCTTCAATATTCTTACTGGATTTCCAGTTCCTTTGGTGTCGGGTCCAAATCCACAAAGCCCCATCTGCCCCTAGGAGGCATGAGAAAATGACAACTTGGGAAGCATAGGAAAGTGTCCATCAGGAAGACAAAGGAAAAGAACCACTCCCATGGCCCCCAAATAATAGGCTTCCCATGACGCTCAGCCCCAATTTAATCAGTGGGGTTGAGCGACAACAGACTCTGGAGTAAGATTTCAATGTTGGCTGAGTTTTAGCGGGTAGGGAACCCAAATCCTAACGCAATTTCAAAGATCACGGTAGCTTTTGGCAAAAGTATATTTAAATAATTAATAATTATAATAATTAATTAACATTTCATTAACGTATTTGATTTGTATTTAAAATTATACTTAAAAGCACAAGGGATCCAGTCTTCTTGAGATCTGGTGTGCAGAATTTAAGACAGAAAGAGAGAGAGAGAGAGAGACCCCGGTAAAGCATATTCTTGCTTTAAGTTCAAATGACTTTGCAGTGAGAACTTTGGCGGCCACATATCAAAATGACCTTGTCCCTAATAAGGTAATTACCTTTCTCATCGAAACATGCCTTTAATGGCCCTATAAAGTGTCCCCTCTCTCTGATATATTGGCAAGATTGCAAGCCCCCTAGATTAATTTATTTAACGCTATAGCGCTTTATCAATACGCCAGCTGTAGCAGGGGTACTAAGCGAGGGCTGGAGGAGATGATGAAACATTGCGGATTATAGCCTGCCCGTCGGCAGCGTGCGCACATAGAAGATGCTTTAAAAAAAAGAGCCTGAAGTCTCGGCCGAACTGACAAAGTCGCCGGCTTTTCTGCTCGCTTTGTACCGCCGAGCGGTTTTGTGCTGCGGCGTTTCAGAAAGGGGAAGAGAAAGCGGTGAGAGAGGATAGAGGTGGGGCAACTGGGGAGGTGTCCAAGCAGAGCAGGATCATGTTCAGCATGCTGTACAGTGGCGCCTCGCTAGACAGTTACCCTGCATGACAATTTTTCGCTAGATGTTGGCTTTTTGCGACTGCTATAGCGATTCGCAAAACAGTGATTCCTATGGGGGAATTTTGCTGGACAATGTTTGGTCACTGCTTCGCAAACCAATTTTCGCTAGACAACAATTTTGACAGCTCCTTCCGTGCTCGCAAACAGGTGTTTTTGGGACCTAAGCTTCGCAAGACAGCGATTTAAACAGCTGATCGGCAGTTCGCAAAGCGGCTTTCCTATGGCCGATCTTTGCTAGACAACGACGATTCTTCCCCATTGGAACAGGTTTCAATGCATTCCAATGAGGAAATGCTTTTCGCTAGGCGATGATTTTGCTAAACAGCGATTTCAGTGGAACGGATTATCGTCTAGCGAGGCACCACTGTATTTAGACAAGGCAGAGGCAAGTTCGAATCCCAATCTAAAAGCCAGAAGGCTAAGCAACCTCGCCGGATTATTGTGAAAGTGAAAAGAAGAGAAAAGCCAAATATAAGCATGACAACATTATCAACACAGCTTAGGTTTTTGAGGAACAACTAACAAAAGCTGTGGGCCAGACAGGAAACATCTGGCCTAACATCACTCACAATCCCTTATCCACAGCCCTGCTAGGTGGCCCTGATGAAAGTTGTCGATCAAAGCATCTGGAGAAGCAAAGCTCCTCCAAGACTGACTGAGTCTAGTCCCTGAAGTCAATCATGAGCTCCTCCAGATCTATAAGATTCTCCAAAGATCTCCAAAGAGCCACATCCATAGTTCTTCCGTCCCACCAGAGATAAGGCTTGGCTCATCAGACGTTGCTAAGAGTTCAACCTCCTTCAGGGCTTGGAGATGTTCTTCTCTGGCTTCACAGCTCTGAGATTTCCCCTGGCAGATGGGAATCGTGGTGACCACGTAACCCTTGTTGCTCTCCCACCGCAACACTAAGGCTGGTTCTCAATGCTAGCTAAGAAGGGTTCCGAAATGATCTGGGCAGCGCCACGGGGGTTGGTTGGCAAAGCATTTGTTCTGAATGAGAGACGGCTTGCCCTTCGGAAGGACAGGTGTTTGGCCATTCCCTGCTCCACCTTCTCTGGCTGGCACTCACTCAGAAGCAGCAGACAGAGGAGGCAGGGCAGAGAAGCCGGGGTGCTGCCTCTGAGCGGGCAGCTGTCAAAGGAGGCAGGTCTGGGACAAACCAGGATGGACCACCCGTTTGTGCCCATCTCTACTCCCCATCGTTCCTCCTCGTCTGTCTCTTACCTGCAGCAAAGGCAGAACACATCACAAAGAACATCCCAACAGCGATCCTTTTCAGGGATGAGGGAAGGAAGCCGTTCCTCTTCAAGATGGGGTCCACCACCTTATCTTTCAAAGGGATCAGGATGAGGATGAGAACGGCATCAAACATGGTGAGCCAGGCAGCTGGGAACTAGCTCCAGGATAGCCAGGGGGGAGGGCGTGTTCTCGCTGATCTTCAGCACGCACCGCCACTTGGCGAAGTCGGCGCCGTCCTTCTTGTACTGGGCGCAGCGCTCGGACAGCCCGTCCAGACCTGGCAGGAGGGAGGGAGGGGAGGGATGAGGAGAAGGGAGGGAGTGAAGGAGGGAAGGAGGAGGAGGGATGAGGGGAAGGAAGGAAGGAGGATCAGTCAAAAATACATTGCTCCAAAGTTAACTTGCATTTCTCTCTCTTCAAATGGCCACATTTTCTCACAGTTGAAAGACCTCAACTCAGAAGCACCACAGAGCTGAGAACATTCCTGTTTCTCCTAAACACAACGCAAGCATGGCCAAAGCAAAACACACACGCACACACTTTTATGGCTCAGAAAGGAAAGGTGTCTCTCTCATCTTACACTGTTGGCTTGACCTCGGCTCCCAGCACCCTTCATGGGAGGACAAAGAGAAACGGAGTCAAGGAAGGTCAAGAGGACCACACGTTCCCCACGCCAGCTGCCATCCGAATGCAAAAGACGGCAAACCAGATTAAACCGAAAACAACATTCTCTACTGGCCCCATCCTTTCCGACGTTCGAAATTTCTATTCACCTTTTCACCTTGGTTTTAATAATCCAGGAGCATTTTATTAGAGAGGGTAAGGGAAGCAAGCGTACCTTGAGGAAATACAGAGGAATCAGGACCATCCACATTTTAATCTTAAAATCTTTCTCAATCTCTCATATTCAGCTCATCCTGGAATCTTGTTAATAAAAACCCCATCGTCTTGCCGACGACGGCCGAAATTGCATTAAGCCCAATTAATCATCAGAAATACCTGTCTGCCGAATGATAGATGAGAACGCTCATATCTGATAAACAAAGCCCTGTAAATTACTGCCACGCATGCACACCGAGATGGGTTTCTAACAGCCATCAGAGCTAATATTGACACCGCATGTGACGGGAAGTAGTCAAAAATCAATTAAGTATTCTCGTCACCCGCAATCATTCGCCAAGGCTTCAGAGACCACGTGTTCCCCCGACACAATTTCTCTCCACGGTTTGTGACCGATATAAAGCCTTTCCAATACCCATTATTCCTGGGAACCTGTTTTCATTTTACGGTCATCACTATGCCATCATCATCCCTTCGCTGGTAATATTTAGCAATGTTTCCCATCAGAGATGGGCGCGAACCTCAGTTTGGAGGTTCGTGCACACGGCCGCCTTCCCCCCTCCTCCCCGGCTGGATTCCCCCACCCACCAGCCAATGCGTGCTCTTGTCTTCCTCCTCTTCAGCTGTTCAGCCAGTCCCCGGCAGGAGCACGGGCTTCCCTGCCCCGCCCCCTTGGCTGATCGCCCACTCAGAGAAGGAGGCGGGGCAGAAAACCCCCAGACTGGTTGAACAGCTGAACAAGGGAGGCGCATGCTCCAACGGGTGAGTGGGTCACTGGCTGGGGAGGCAGAGGAAGGGAATATGTGGTACCCATGATGCCGTGTGTACGAATGGGCACAAACCTTCGGACCGAGGTTCGCACTCATCTCTGTTTCACATCATCAGAGCATTGGGGTGGCATTGACGGGGCAGGCGATTTTCAGAGTTACATCTATGGGGTCATTCCTACTTTCCCTTCCAATCTTGCAGGCTGCAATTTCCATCAACCCCCCCTGTGAAAAAAGTACACGGCCGCCTTCCCCCCTCCTCCCCGGCTGGATTCCCCCACTCACCAGCCAATGTGTGCTCCTTTCTTCCTCCTCTTCAGCTGTTCAACCAATCCCCAGCAGGAGCACAGGCTTCCCTGCCCCGCCCCCTTGGCGGATCGCCCACTCAGAGAAGGAGGCGGGGCAGAAAAAGCCTGTGCTCCTGCCGGGGACTGGTTGAACAGCTGAACAGGGGAGGCGCATGCTCCAATGGGTGAGTGGGTCACTGGCTGGGGAGGCAGAGGAAGGGCACATGTGGTACCTCTGACGCCATGTGTACGAATGGGCATAAACCTTCGGACCGAGGTTCGCACTCGTCTCTGTTTCACTTATTCAGAGCATTGGGGTGGCATAGACGGGGCAGGCAATTTTCCGAGTTACGTCTATGGGGGTCATTCCAACTTTCCCTTCCAATCTTGGAGGCTGCAATTTCCATCAACCCCACCCCCCGTGAAAAAATATATATATCCCCAAATTGCCCATTTTCTTTTAACCCCAAATCTCTGCCGCTGTCCATACTGTCTAAAAATGGCCAACAATTCAGTAAGAGAAACCGGAATGGAGTTATTCTGGAAAGGGCATGGCTGGCTGGAATCAGAAGCTGGTGGCCAACCTCCACCGGTTACCCACTGTGTCCCAGAACGGGTTCAAGGTCTTGACACTCTAAAACCCTTAATGATATGGGACCAACATTGCCTCTCGGAGTGTCTCTCCCCAATCTTACCTGCCTGACCCACCGCATTGACACAGGCCAGGCTCCTTGGGGTAGCCACCCCGAGAGAGCCTCAAAAGTCATCCACTTGAGGCAGGACCTTCTCGGTCGTGGCTCCGAGACTATGGAATCAGCTCTGGGAGGAATTGTGCATGGCCTCCTCCCTTGGACTCATTCAGGAGACACTACTTTTCAGGGAGACTTTTCAATCCCACCCTGGTTGAGTGTCTCCCATCCGTTCCGCTTTACTGGGAACATTTCTCGGTCTCGTTCATTTTCATGTCTTTACTTGGTCACTGCTCTTCGTGTTACATTTTGGTGTCCGTTGTGTGTTCGTTTTGGCTTTAATTGTTTGTAAATCGCCTAGCACGGTGCTTTGGCACAAAAGGGGCAGTATATAAAGTAATAAATATAAATAGGTATCGCACCCGACCACAATTGTGTGGTTGTTGCCGGTGATCTGTTGCTTGTAAAACGGGTGAGCGTGCCCGGCGCCTGAGTTGGCCCCACGCCCTCAACACCCGTAGCCCTGCGGGCACATCCTGGCATCACTCCCTTCTGAATTCAGCACGCCAGCTGCAAGCCGCCGGCACTAACCCCCTGAGGCATGGCAGCTTAAGAAGCCCAGGTAGCAAAGCGATTAATTAGGAACTCATTTTCCCCAAGGGGGGCAAACTCAAAGGAACATCACGTGCCATCGGCACCATCTCAGGAGTAAAACCCGTTTATGGGAGCATTCGAATACCGCAGGAGATCAAAGGTTAAGCTCCACACTTGGAGGAAGTGCATACAAAGTGTTTATTGTATGGATTTTTACACGCATGGATCCATACTTGGGCTTCCAACCTCACCTCCTTACTACCAGCCCTCTAAAACAGGTCTTGGTTCAACCTCATTAGAATTCCTTGCCCCCAATCCACGTCAGTAAAGGTCAGATCCACAGACCAGCAACGTGGCCACCCGAGGCCACCCGGCTGATGCCCCGTTCATCTGCCAGCGGGAAAGTTCACACCAGAAGCCGGGCGAAAAGCCTCAATGAATATTTGAAAACGCTCGCCGGGGTCCTCGCTTTCAAAGGCCACGCAAATTACCATTTTTAATGATTGGGATGATGAAATATTCATGGGCGGGAGAGGGGGATGCTGAGACCCGAAATGCACCAGGAATTTGGGAAGCTGCAGAAAGCTTTGGTTGATGAAACCGCTCAAATCTGTCAGGGTTTTTATTTCTGTATGACAGTGGTTCCCAACCGTGGGCCCCCAGATGTTCACGGACCACAACTCCCAGAAGTCTTCACTGGCCAGGAATTCTGGAAGTTGTAGTCCAAGAACATCTGGGGAACCAAGGCTGGGAACCACTGCTTCCTCAATATTATGAATAAGAGGTTGGCATGGGTGGTCTTAAACCGGAAATCTCTGCCACCACCAAGCCCTGCCCTTCTTCCCACGCTCCGGATCTTGAGCGCCACTCCGAAAACTTTACTCTTCGGCCGAAAGGGACCGCGCCAGACGCGGCTCTTCCAAACTGCTCGGAATTGCTGACTCGTTAATATTAAGCAGGTTGAGCTTTTTCCGGGATGAAAAGGCTCATTGATAAATACTGCATTGAAACCATCATCCATAATGAATGCGGGTTATTACCATGACGGGGCTGCGCGCAGAATACTTGAAGGAAGGGCGGGCCGCAGGTATAGGAAGACATGCCAACCTCCCGGCCTCTCCGGCTACGGTGCATCGCTTTGACCCTGATGAATCATTGAGCAACCCCGCAGGGACAGTGCTCCCGAGAGCCCGCACGCCACTAATCGCCCCCAAGCATAATGGGAGGGGCGATCCCTGATCCCAGTTCACCTCCATTCCATTTCGATCCCATCTCTATTTATTGATCCTACGCCTCCATGCCTTCGACAAGCTCAAGGTGGTGCTGGTGACCCTTCTCTCCCCCTTATCCGATTTTCACAACAGCCCTGAGAGGTCGACCAGCGGGAGGGAAGTGTGGAGGGCTCCGTAGTTTCGGGATATGGCTGAGGAAGGCAGAGGTTGGGGGTTCGATTCCCCACTGAGACCCCTTGACAGAGGCTCGACTTCATGATCCATACGGTCTCTTTCAGCTTTATTTGCTATGGTTTAACTTAGAATGTAAGTATGAGTAAGTATAATATGGTATGTATAAATGTTGTTGTGTATTTTATGCAGGTTGTTTTTTTGGTGAAAAGCACTTTTAGCTTTCCCCCTACAAAACAACTTATAAAGAGGGGAGGTGTTACATACAGCACTGATGTTACCTGTCTGTCATGGGTTTGGAGGGAAAGTTCCATCCTATGGGGAGTGGAAGGCGGGACATCAGGAGGAGGGGCTGTACTGTATAAATATGTGATGCCTGTGTGGTGAGAGAAGAGATGCTGGGAGACACTGGGTTGTGACGAAGCAGCAGCTGGGGAGAAGAAGCTGTTGTGGGAGTCTGTGTGTCAGACAGGGTACTTCTGTGTGTCAGAGTACCAACCTGATAGGTTCAGGTGTCTGTTGGTTAGCCAGAACTGATAGGTTCAGGGTCTGTGCTTCAAGTTAAGGGTTCTGGGTGAACCAAACTGTATGCTTGTATGAGTAAGAATAAGCCACGTTACTTTATCCTATTCACCTGATTGTTTTATTTTCCTGTGTGTGTATTTAAATAAACCTTATTCTTTTTATTGTTTAAAAATCCATCCCTGGTCTGTGTGACTTCTTAAAGGGAATGGTTGGTGGCAGCTTAGTGTAACTGTGTGACATATCCCAGTAGGTCTGGGTTTGTCACACGGGGGTCCCCAGATGTTCTTGGACTGCAACGCCCAGAAATCTTGGCCAGCCCTGCTAGGGGTGAAGGCTTCTGGGAATTGCAGTCCGAGAACATCTGGGAATTGCAGTCCGAGAACACTCCTTGACTAGATGACCTTCTGAACACCCCTGGTCCTATAATTCAAATTATTCTGTCCCCGGGGTGGAGTAGCTTTGGCTTTTCCAGATGTTCGGGACTTCAGCTCTCATTGTCCGGCCCAACCGGCGGCGCTGGGCCAGGCTGATGGGAGTCGGAGTCCAAACGCAGATGACATTGCCAACCTCTGTGAAGGGAGGAATGCAAAGAAAACCTGGGTTTCCCGTCACCCACCTGAAAGTAGACCGTCCAGTAAGGGATGAGCGCCAGGAAGACGGGGATGATCTTGACGAGGGCTTTGACGTCTTCCACTTTCTCTTCCCTGAAGGGTCCCCCGCGGGAGACTTTGGCCGACTCAAAGAGGCTTTGCTTGCGAGGCTGTTGCGGAAGGACGCCTTGGCTGTCCCTGAGGAAGGGGGAAAGAAAGGGGAAAGAAGGAAGATCAGGGAGTTCCCCCCGACATGGCACAGCTGAACTGCTGGAGGCTTCGGAGCCAGACGTTGGGGGTTCGATTCCCCACGGAGCCTCCTTGACCAGAGGCTGGACTTGATGATCTACAGGGTCCCTTCCAGCTCGGCAGTTCTAAGACAGTCAAACTCTCACACCACAAGAGCAGCCTGGCACACATGGGATCTGGGTTCAAGTCCCTGCTCAGGCCCCCAAAAATTCAGCTTGGGCCCATCCCTTTCTATCAACCTGGCCTACCTCGCAGGGTTGGTGTGAAGACAAAGTAGCGAGGGAGGAACTATACACACTGATCTCATGGGAGGAACTATGGGAGATAATGTGCAATTAATTTTTTAAAAGCACATTCAGATATTTAGAAGGAAGGTGGATTCGAATTTAAATTTTAAAAAAAACGGATTCTTTTGGCCGATTGAAGTAAAAATTGATCTTAAAAAAATTTAATCGTGGTTTCAAATCAATTCCATTTTCAAAAACCGTTTATTTTTTATCCACCCTTTTTAGATCACACAGAAGACAGGTTTATACGGACCGATGAGGCTCTTCAGGGATTTCAGCGGAGTTCCTTCGTAAATTTATTGATCTAAACTATTCCTTAAAAGAACCCCAAGGGGGTTCAAGGATGAAAAAGTGATGATGGTTATTTATTTATTTTTTGAGACTACACTACCCAGTATCCCCATACTGGCAAAAGGGGATTCCGGGAACTGAATCAAGGAGAGCGTCTCCTCGCCTACCTATTTCTGGGGTACGCCTCAGCCCTCCTCTGGGAACAGCATGAAAAGGCCAAGATCCGGAACATGTCCGTGAAGGCGCTGCCGTCGGGCGGCTTGGTGATGAAGACGCTCTGGCCGCACAGGAAGACGACGAAGGAGACCCCGATGCAGACCGCCGGGATGATGTAGCCGGTGCTGAAGTCCACGTTCTGCTGGATGTAGGCAATCCCGCCCAGCGAGAGGATGGCCCCCAAGTTGATGCTCCAGTAAAACCAGTTAAAGAACCTCCGGGTGGCCTCGGGGCCCCGATCCTTGACCTAGAAGAGAATTTTTAAAGCATTTCCCCCCTGAAGCTAGCAGTACCACGGATCGGGATGCTGAACGAGCATCTTTTTTAATCCCCCCAGTTATGGTGCCGAGGGTAACGGAAGCCGCTGGCTAACCCTCGCCTGTTCTCTCTCTCTCGTTTTCTTGGCCACAGGCTATCGTTCTGTGTCATCGAGTCGGAACCCGCTTAGGCTGACCCCTAATAGGGCTTTTGAGGTCAGTGAGATACAGTGGTGCCTCGCTAGACGATGATAATCCATTCCACTGAAATTGTTATCTAGCAAAATAATTGTCTAGCAAAAAGCAAATCGTCGTCTAGCGAAAATCGGATTGCGAAGCAAGGACCAAACATTGTCCAGCGAAATTCCCCCACAGGAATCACTGTTTTGCGAATTGCTATAGCGATCGCAAAAAGTCAATGTCTAGCGAAAAAACTGTCATGCGGGGTAACCGTCTAGCGAGGCACCACTGTATTTAAGGAGGGGTTTTGCCAGGAAGCTTCCGTGGCTGAGTGGGGATTCGAACTCAGGCCTGCATCCTAGCTCATCACTTGAGCCACTGCACCCCACTGGGGATCCTCACAGGTTGTAGTGAGAATAAACCAAGGAGGAAGAGAGAGAGACAGATGCACTGCTATGGATTCACCACACTTTGGTTTGTGTGGTGGTGTGACTCCGGTTCCTCGATCGAGGGATCGGCTGCGTGAAGGATGTGAAACACTGAGAGGAACAGCTGAGTGAGCCATCTCCTACATGCCCTGTCCTCCACGGCCCTGCTCAGCTCTTGCAGACCCAAGCCTGGGGCTTCCCTTAGGGAGCTAGTCCATCTCGTATTTGGCCTTCCTCTTTTCCTGTTGCTTTCAACCTTTCCTAGCATTATTGTCTTCTCCAAAGCATCCTGCCTTCTCACACTGTGCCCAAAGGAGGACAACCTCAATTTTCAACATTTTTTTTGCCTCTAGAGATAGTTCAGGCTTGGTGTGCTGTAGCAGCCACTCGCTTGTCTTATGGGCCGTCTTTCTCTCCACGAAGCTCTCCTCCAGCACCACCTTTTCAATCAAATCAATTTCTTTTTTCATGCCAGCTTTCTCAACTGCCCAGCTTTCACACGGTGATCAGAAATACAAGAGTGTGGATGATGCTGGTTTCCAGGGGCACCTCCTTATACATGATGATCTTTCCTAATTCTTTCATCGCTGGCCTTTTGAGTCTCAGTCTTATTCTGAGACACACACAGTAAAACTATTTAAATACACACACACACACACACCACTCCCTCCCAGAGCTGATCCAGTTATTAGTCAACTGTGTAAAGAGCTTATCAAGTATCAGTAAGTAAAAACTGCCTCTGATAGTGCATTTTTAAAAAACCACATGCCATCTGATTCCCCGAGGATAAAACTGTGGCCAGATAAATACTAGATAGTTGACCACAAGTTGTCTCTTTGTGTGTGTGTGTGTGTGTGTGTGTGTGTGTGTGCATGCGCGCATGGCGATTATTTTTGTTCAACCCCCCCCAACCCCTGGCATCTTATTCGTGCGCGCGCGCGCGCGCGTGTGTGTGCGCATGGCGATTATTTTTGTTCAACACCCCCAACCCCTGGCATCTTATTACTCACAAAGCACCCTCTGAACAAATGCCAAATTGCAGAATTCAACGAGCAAAAAAAAATTACAAATAAAATAAAATTTAAAAAATGGATCGGGTATTTATAATTTTGAAAACAACACCGGGGTGAACAGCACACGACACAAAACAAAGCGGTGTGTGGTTCGCCACAGTTCCAGGCAGGTTTGCCATGATCAATCCCTCCCCCCACTTTTCTGAAAAGAAATTCCCCGCATGTAGAAAGCTAGCAACTCAGGAAGTAAAAAAGAGTGAGATGGGAGGGGAAAACCCCTTCTTCTTGAATGTCGGTCTTTCTGTAGGAAGGGGGCAGTTACGGGCAAACATTCAAGCATCTGTTGCGAAAGCAATGCAGCTGTGACATAGTGAAAAATGAGGCCAGAGAAATTCCAAGAAGTCAGAAAACAGCAGGTGAAGGCTGCTGTTCTGTAAGAAGGAAGTGAGAAAACCAAAATATCACTCGTGGCCAGATGTGCATCTATGCGGAAAGAAAAGCCCAGGACAGATTAAGGGTACTCTGGGATCGTGCTGATGGAGAGTCTGTGGATGATGAAAAATAATAATTGGAACCCGCTTAGGCTGACCCCTAATAGGCATTCTGAGGTCAGTGAGATACAGTGGTGCCTCGCTAAACGTTGATAATCGATTGCACTGGAATCGCTGTCTAGAGAAGTAGTTGTCTAGCAAAAAGCATATCGTCGTCTAGCGAAAATCGGATTGCGATTTGTCTATCAAATCTTTTGTCTATCAAAAGAAGGCTACGCCTTCTGGGATCCCTGCTCCTGTTTGGGGCCCTCTTTGACTCCATCTGGAGCGATCCGTTACACTCAGATCAGAACCATTTAAAAAATGGTTAGAGCACAGGACCCTCCCCTATCCGCAGGTTCAGTATCCGCTGATTCACTTATCCATGGTCTGAAAATATTAAAAAATATTCTTCCTAAAAAAAATCTAGAAATATATATTTCCATAGTTGAAGTGACCACAATTGGCCACTAGAAAGAGCCAGACACCATGCTATGCGTAGTGTTTGCTATTAAAAGAACGTTTGCTATAATTCACATTTTTTTTTCAGCACCCACGGGAGGGACTTGGAACCAATCCACCACAGAGACGGGGGTCATAGTGTAATTTATTTGTTTTCCATTTGTGTACGAAATCGGGAGGCATGAAATGGCTGCTTCAAAGAGGGCAGCCAACTTGACTAATTTTGGACCGCTCGCTTCAAGTGTCGGTATACACATTTTTATGTGCCGTCAAGTCAAAGCTGACTTGCGGAAACCCCATGAATGAGCTCTTGCAAACTCAAACTAGTGGCTTACTTAAGCGAGTCCGTCCATCTCGTATTTGATCTTCCTCTTTTCCTCCCCATCCTAGGAAGGGACGAGTCAAAGCAGGCTTTTCCCGGGGAGAGATTTTAGGAAAAATAATACCGGCAGGCGCGCCCTCGATAAAAACCGTTCCACGGCACAAAACTGACCCCTTCTCATTTTAATAGAGTTCTGCAGCTCGGAGCCCAAGCGTGTGTCAGAAAGATACAGCCTCGCAGAGCATCTTTGTTTGAAGAAGGAAATAAATTCCCTCCGAAGGGGGATAAGAATATATAAGATCTATAAAAGAATCCATCCTGGGGGGGAAGAAAGCGAACCAGAGAGGTCCAATTTGACACACCCAGCGAGGAGCTCGGGATGCGCTGACAGTTATACTCATTGGGGCATCAACGGAAAAGTTTCCCTCTCCGGAAAGGGGGCTAAAAAAAAAAAGACAACCCACAATGCCACACAATTCATCCTTGTTTGCTTGTTTTTTCCCCTGCAGCAGCGCAGAAATGATGCTGAGTCATCCTTCGCCGGCAGCTATTTTGCCAATTCCCAATTACGCCACCCGAGCGAAGCAATGTTATTGCGTCCCCCCCGGGGGCTCAGGCACCCTCCGGAGCGTGTGACCGGTTTTTCGACCTAATTAGAGGGGTCCGGCTGCTTCTCTCTCTCTCTCTCTCTCGGGATCTGCGCCAACTGGTCACAGCAGCTCCGGATTTTGGGCAGCGGCTGTTTTGCGCGTGTGGCTTTTTGTGGCTGATGAAGAGTTCTGTGCGACCTGCAGGCTTGCACCGGGTTTTGAATGTCCTTGTCCACTCGTCTGAAAGTATAATGTGGCTTTCCTCGGGAATGAACACAGCTTTAAAAATCAGCTGGGGGGGGGGCTACACAAGACACAGTGCAACCGCTTAGCTTAAGATGATAATCATAGCGACTCTTTCCAGGGTTTTCGCTTTTTGTGGCTGATGAAGAGTTCTGTGCGACCTGCAGGCTTGCACCGGGTTTTGAATGTCCTTGTCCACTCGTCTGAAAGTATAATGTGGCTTTCCTCGGGAATGAAGAGAGCTTTAAAAATCAGCTGGGGGGCACTACACAAGACACAGTGCAACCGCACAGCTTAAGATGATAATCATAGAGACTCTTTCATGGGTTTTCATCAGAAATGGTTTCCCCTTCTCTTCCTCTAGGGGGAGCCCTGGTACTGTGCAGCTGGCCCAAGGCTCCCCAGGCTGGCTTTTCTCCCTCGCCCAAGGCTCCCCAGGCTGGCTTTTCTCCGTCGAGGCACTGCGGGGGAATCGAACTCCCAACCTTTGGCTCCTTAAACCATTGAGCAATCCAGCCACCGTTTTAAACCAGCCCCAAATCTACTGGAGTGGACAATTCTGCTTTTTTGGAGGGTCCATATTTAGCAGAGATACCCAGCGAGGTGAAGTGGACAGAGTGATGGATTAGGACTCAGGAGCTCTGGGTTCAAATCCATGCTCTGCCAGGAAGCTCACTGAAGGGTATGGAACTCTGGTCCAGCCCCTCCTTGAATATCCTATTTATCTCAACCTTATGGAACATATAAGAACACTTTTTTTAAAAAGCAAGAGAACGCTTGGGCACATCCGGCGCTCTGCCTTGCCTGACAACGAAAAGGAAACAATCAAGCTTCCCAAGGCCACCCATTATAAAGATTTTTAGTCCGGATTCTTTGAAAAAATGATCATTATTTATTGGTGGCATCATTCCAAGCCTGGTCTCATTGGATTCCTGAAGCAAAATGGGGTGAGTTGATACACCACCAGGGACTATCCGGTATCTCCAAGTCGCAAAAAAACCCCACAAACCTGCTAGAGGCCCATTACTGGAATACAATGGGACCCCAGTATCCACGGGATCGCTATCCGCGGTTCATCGCAGGCAGATACCCAATAGAGAACGGAGTGGGCCTCGTGGCCTTTGTGTGTTGTATACAGGCTTCGCTCTTATATGTGGTTTCTGGAATTCATGGTAGATTGTGGATCGGACCACCCGCGGATACGGGGGTCCATCAGTACTAAGGTACACAGGCAAGATTCTGACTCAGTATATAGCATTTCTGCGTACTAGCCCAAAGGGGCTACTTGACTCTGTTTCCACACTGGCCATGGCTCCTTCCTTAATCCAGGCTGTTAATGTCTTAGCAGGCTAAAGATATGTGCCCATCTTTCTCCATTCTTCCTTTTCTATTCTCACGCCAGGAGGAGAGGGACTTTTAAAAAATAAAAAATCCAACCCTTTTTTAAAAACACGCCGACCGAAGGGCAGAGTGAAATGCGCATTAAGGTTGGCCCCCAACGATTTGTGCGCGGCCGGACCGGTTTCGTTTTCTCCTTGCCGCTGTTGCCTGAGGCCAGAATAGAAAGAGGCGAAGAAATAAATTGGAAATCACCCCGAGATGAACAGGAAGCCGAGAAAGAGAGAGGGCAAGGCTCTAGAAAAAGAGGAACTGCAAGTCCGACTCGCGAGGATGAGAGAAATCAGAACCAAATCACTATACTTTGGCAGCAAAACCGTGTGAGATAACAGACCGAGGATCGCACGAAGCCTCAAAAGCTTTGGGTTCAAATCCTTGCCACACCGGGGGAACACACCCAAATTGTTTATGACTTAAAGATCATCTGGTAGTAGCCACAGTACACCCCTTCTTGACCATTTTGTGTATTGCGGAAAACCCAGTCGGGAGGTCATCGAGCCACAGAAGCAATCCGAGGGCAGATAAAAGCAGATATAACCACATAAGATCTGGGAAGGATCTTGTATGTGCGAGCGACTGTCGTAACCAGGCCGTGGGGAGGGGGAATAAGCCAACGTCGAGAAAACCACAAAAAATCTCAAATCCTGCACACGAAAGGCACTTGGGTTGCTTAAGATCAGTTATGTAAGCCTTGACACATTTCAAGCTGCATCGACTACGGCCAGAGCATCTTACTGGGGTAAGAAGTCCAATCATGTCCGGGACTGACTCTAAGGGATCACAAAACACCGTCCCTATTCAGTAGCCAATTGCTCATGAATGGTTTCAATGCATGCGCGTCCTATCAGACAATGCGTACCTGGAATAGCAGTCAAATGAATCATATCCATGGGAAGAGAACCAGTGTGCACCAAGCTACTGAATTTTTCTGTGTATAAGACTATACTTTTGTCTTTAGACTAAAAATTGAGGGTCGTCCTATACACGGAAGTAAGCTGAGGAGAGAACAAAAACGAGTGGAAGGGAAAGCAGGGATCAAAGCGATTCTGCAGTGCTATGATCCCTTTCCTCCCTACACTTGCTAAGCCCCACTTAGATTTCTTAATTTTGGGTTAGAAAAGTGGGGGCGTCTTATACATGGGGGCGTCATATACATGGAAAAATACAGTACTTGACACTGAGCTGTATGAATTTCAGAAGTGAGCTTGTTTACTCGCTAACAGGACCGCGACAGAATAAACGTCCCGGGCTAACAAAAGTCTCCGTCCTGCAACCCACCTGAGCCAGAGGAAACAGCACCGTCGTTCAGGTGAACGATGCCAGAAGGAAACCTCTGGTTTATCCTGACTTCTTCCCGACAGGCCCAAGAAAACTCAGAAGAGGAAAAGCAAGATTACACACCTTGACTCGGCTGGATACGCTTGGGAGGATTCTACACAGGTAAGACCATAAACAAAGGCTGTGCAAAATGGATGATCCACCTTCTGACCGGTGAAATCGACAGAAATAAAGTAATAAAGGTGTCTCTCTTTTTTTAACAAAAAGGGGTGAAGACGATGCCACAAAGCCACAAGTCACTACCGAGAGTTATTTTTCTGCATTCCCGCTGGAGTATTTTTAACTATTTCTCCTTTTTTTCTTCTTCTCTTGGATAGCATCATGATTATTTTGCTTTCCAAACAAGGATGCGGAGTTGCCCTCTAAACCATCCTGCAAAGCGCTTCGCAGTCAAGAAGTTCAACCAATGTTGGCTTTTATTATTTACGACGTTTTAAAAATAGCTTTACATTTGATTTACAGGGTTTCCATATTGTATCCGAAATATGTTTGAAATGGCTTAAAGATGTCAAGGCATCCAGCGATGTGTTGTTATATACTTGTGTGTACAAACACATAAACTTCTAACCAGGTTGGTTTCGAATTCAGCATCTGCTCCTCTTTTTGATCCGAATTCAAGAACGATGAAGAGTTCTGTGCTCATGTAAAATGAAATGGCGATACTCAGCTAGGAAAAAAGTAGACTCTACTATAATGGAATAATCAATTTTAGCATGTAGATTTTGGAATGGAATAATCAATTTTAGCATGTAGTTTCTCAAAATTATGTGTTTTTTAATAGGTCTGTATAATATGGTGAAGTATAATACTGGCATTGGACTGGTTTCAAATCTCTACTGAGCTATGAAACTGTTTGAGTGACTTTCGCTCTCTTCCTCTCTCAACCTGTCCTACCTCGCAGGACTGCTGTAAAGATAAAGTGGGAAGCAGAGTTGTGTAACCCCCTTAAATTTTTTAAAGGAAAAACGAGATATAACCAATAACTAGCTAGCAAAAGTCTTCTGGATCAACCCAAAGACCTACCAAGACCTCTACACTCTGTTTTCTAGAGTGGCCACCCGGATATCTCTAGAGGCATGGAAAAAATAGGGTGCAGATGATGCCCAAAGGTGACAGCAGTGGAGAAGCAGCTCTTGAGCAGATTTAATCAAGCCGGGAAGACTTCGAACACATGCCTGGTTGTGGGTGGCATCTTTCACCTCTAGGGAACAGCTCAGCTAAGGATGGAGAAGCTCATGATAAAGCTGGCCACAGAGCACAAAAGCAGTCATAACAACATAACAAGGACGTTGCAAAAGAGCTGCAGGTTGCCATAGTAGTATTATCCACACTGGTGAAATAACACGTCCTCAAGCCATTCAAGACAATATAGCATTTGTCCTACAGCGAGGAACCACAACTCTGTGGTCAAGCACACGTTTTTGAATGTCTATAGACTCGGAACAGGGGAGAAGAATCTCACAGGCCATCCAATCCAACCATATCTGCTTGATGCAAGAAACCCAGCGCAACACGATCCTCAAAATGTCAATGTCAGAATCACAGGATTGTAGAATAACGGAGTCGGAAGGGGCCTAAAAGGCCATCTAGTCTAACCCTCTGCTCAAGGCAGGAATCCAAATCAAAGCACATCTGACAGAGGGTGGCCCCATTTCCTCTTGAATGCCTCCAGCGTTGGAGCGCTCACCACCTCCCAAGGTCATAGGTTCCATCGTCGTACTGCTCTAACAGTTACGACGTTTTTCCGGACGTTCAGCAGAAATCTGGCTTCCTTTAGCTTGAGCCCAATTTTACATGTCTTGTGCTCGGGGATAATGAAAAACAGACCCTGCCCCTCGTCTGCATGGCAACCTTTCAAGGATTTGAAGAGTGCTATCCTATCTCCCCTCAGTTTCCTTTTCCCGAGGCTCAACATCCCAGTTTTTTTCAGTGTTTCCTGGTAGGGCTTGGTTTCCGGTCCCCTGATCACCCTTGTTGACCCTCCTCTAAACTTGCTCCTGTTTGTTGGCATCCTTCTTAAAGTACTCAAGATGAGGCCTAATGCGCATAGTGGTACGTAGGAATGGTGGACGCTGACGCTAGAACCTTCTGTGTACCCGAGTGTCTGCAGCATGGCCATCACAAGAGAAAACAATGGACAATATAGAACTAGATCTAGCACATGGCCGTTTTTTAGACTGGCTTTATGGCATGGTCGTAAGACTCCTTTTCATACAAAGTCTAATATTCGGTGAAGAAAGACGCCCACTTGGTTGGTACCAAAAGTCAGGCAGGAAGTTATTTCAACCCTTCGATGGCAGGGAAGAACATAAGGTCTACGTTGGGAACAACCTAAAGGCCTATCAAGCCCAACCATCTGCCCACGGGAAGCCCACTGGAGGACATGAACACAACTGGATGCTCCCTCTCACTTCCCATACTGCCCACGGGAAGCCCACTGGAGGACATGGATGCTCCCTCTCACTTCCCATTGAATCCAACTCTCCAATGGTCTCTCCAATATCGGTCATGGTACGTGGTCAACCTGAACTTGCTGTATTGATTGCCTCTCTCTCTCTCTCTCTCTCCATGGATCTATCCAACCTCTGCTTCAAACGCTAGCAACATCTCACAACAATGAATCCCACAGGCCTAGTTCTGCACTGTGAGAAAATTTCTCCTATCGACCTCAATCTCCAGTCGACGTCTACATTAGATCCAGAAAAACGCGGAACGCTCAATCTCCAGTCGACGTCTACATTAGATCAATAAAAACGCGGAACGCTCAACCAAAGAAAGGTTCAACCCACCTGGTCGGCTCCAAATGGAGTGATATTGGCTTTGACCGAACCAACGCTGATTCCCACCAGCACCAGGCCAACGAAGGTCGGGATGAGGCAGTAGCGGGTGGCACCTTCCAGCTCGCAAGGAGGGGACGTCACGTTGGAGGCGACCGGCGAGGAGCAGTTCTCGACGGGCCACGGTTGAAGCTCCCCACAGAGCCACTGCCGAGTGGCGGGCAGGGCCATGGCCGGGAAGGCCAGCATCCCCAGGAGGTACACCGCCATGCTGACCAAGATGGTGGGGAATTTGCCCAGCAAAGCGTCGGCCAACCAGCCGCCAAAGGGAGAAACCAGGTAGGTGATGCCCATGAACACCAGCAAGGCTTGGCTGGCTTGGGCTCCCTCCCAGTTGTAGGGCGTCTCGTTGAGGAACAAGACCAGGTTGCAGGTGATGCCGTAGAAGGCGACTCTCTCCAGCAGCTCCGCCAAGAGCACCGCGGCACACGCCAGGCGCCGTCCGTGGAACACGCTGGTGGCCGGGGAGCCCGTAGGGGAGCGGGGTTGGCTCCCTAAGAGCGGGGTTCTCTCACTTGACTCTGCTTCTTCCATGGCAATGGTGGGACGCCCAGAAATCTCAACACCCCGCCTAGATTCCCTCCTGGGGGGGGGGCAATCCAATGTTGACCCAAGTCTTCACAGACTCAGTCCCACCTCTGTCCAAACACCCAGCCTCCCCACCTTAGGCTCCTGAGCTACCCTAAATCTGACCCTCCCCCAGTGAACTACCTCCACCCCCTACTCTCACAGAAGTCCCCCAGTTTTGGACCGGTTTGGCCCCACTCTCAGGTCTACCCAGCCCTAACCCCTCCCAACACAGCAAGACCAACGCAACCACCCCAAACTCTTCCTAAGAGTCCTGATGGGGAGCTTAAAAAAAAGGATAAAGGAACGGGTTGGTGGAGATATCACTCCCAAACCATTCCCTCCTCTCAGCCCTCTCACCCTCCAATTTCCCGGGGACGTACAGAGCGACCCACCCCTGCCACCTGCCCCACCCGGGATTCGAACCGGCGGCACCTCCCTTCCAGGCCGCCTCCGTGGCGCGGGGCTCTTCCGACGCGCGGCTCTTCCTACGCCCACCCTCCTC